TCTCAAACTGTTCCGAAGCAGAAGTTACCCAGAATATGCTAAATAAACAAATTTTGCTTGACTTGACAATGCTGTTTCAGAACACTAAACGCTGTTTTCTAATTCTTTCCGTGAAACACGATGTTAGCCAAGGGCATTAATATATCAACTTTTTTGGCTTGAACGATGTACAACTATATAAAGAAGTTTCTAGCCACGGTAAAACTGCATCAATACGCCATGTTTCTAAACCTGCCATAGACTGCAGGAAACGATCTGGAGCAAAAATGCTCAAACGCACATCAATATCCTCATCGTTGTCACACCGAACACAAATTTTATCAAATACCATCGTCTAGCTTCCACAGATATCAAGTTCATGCAATGGCTCGGCATCCCTGAATCGATAGGAAACTCAAGTTCTTCGCAGGACACATTTACAGCTTTAGGCATACGAACTTTGGCTTCGTTAGGAACTTCAGCCTTTAGGAAGGTAAAGTTTTGGTTCGGCTCATCTATCTTTGTGATAGACTTCTATTTCGTGGTATCTCTGTATTTCACAGTAAGAACTTTGGTATTTCGCAGAAGAATATGACTTTCCATAAATCTTACGATTCGAAGATCTTTCGCAGCTGTAATGAATAAATATACATCTTCCTGGATATTCTTGTCTAAAACAACCTCAAGCAATTCAATCTTCTATTTCTGGTATACAGATCTCAGTCTATGCAAAACCCTGCCCACTTCACTTCCTGGTGATCGTATTCATATGGATGAAAAACTAAATGAAGGAACTTTCGTAACGAAAGCCGAAAAGTTGCGAGCCTAATGGAAGAATGGGTTTGATAACGGAACAGTGGGCATTAAATGTCAACCATTCTGCTACATGTTACTATATTCACTGCCCCAGCTGCAGTTTTGGCCAAAACGTCTGGGGCTATATAGTCCGCTCAACCTAAATACGTGTACTTTGTCTAAAACAGCATTGGATACCGAAATTTTCAGGTGTTAACATATGAAAAAAATGTTCATTGAAGAGAGAGGAGAAATACAGCATATATACCATGATAATAGTGATGCATACACGAAGAATACGTATCTGAATGAGAAAAAGCGTTCGGTGTATAGCTTTAAACATAACATAATCAGATAGGTATAAAAAATACCTCACCGGTAAAGTGCCCGGAAGTGCACAGTCAAAGTAACTGACATTGTGATTCACGGGAGAGTCCGGGAGGGAAACTGCACGGCTGAAAAGCTTCGTTCGACTACTGATCTGAGCATGGATTTCCAAACCAACGACGCTTATCCACTGTCTGGAAAAAACAGTTCAAATCTCTGACAGCCTTTTAAGCTATGTACGCCTACTTTGAATTAGAAATGTACCGGTGATAGATTTGTAACCACGGAAAATTAAAAAATTCGACAAAACTGCCTCGAAACACTTTCATCCCCCGGACACCGAGCATTTTGCACAAACGATTTAGAAATGACCACAACTTCACATGCCAACTGCTATAAATGTAGACTTTCAGCATAACGGTAAGTGCCAGTCAAAAAATGTATCATTAGTTGTATCATTAACAGTTGAGAAAATAAGAGTGATTTATCACTGCTGAAATTACCTGCAATACACTTGAATAACTGCCGCACCCTAGAAAGAGCGCCGGCGAGAAATTAAGCTGGACGTATATACTTGAAAATCACAGGCACTGTACAGTAAAATATGAGTGAATTACACTCCGCTGACTATCATAGACAAGATCCACTCCTTGTAATCCAAAATCTAATTTTGATGGAGTCGTACGGCTTAGTCTAGCAATGATCCTGCTTCTAGTAGCGTAGATAAATACTTAGGCAAGGAAAATGGATCCATGATATTCAAACATCTGCAGTAA